ATTTAATTTATCCTAATAATGTTTCTACTGACATAAAGCATTCAGTTTATGTATTTACTAATAACAATATTTTGGCAACATGAATACATTAAAGAACCATCTGATAATTCAATGTGAAATTAAACCCTGAAATTTTGAATTTTGGTTGGTTGCTTAATCGAAAGTAATTATTAGAATTTTGCTTAACCATGCTGACATATTGGCTTCATGGCTTGAAGTAGAGAAATTTCTTTCTTTGTCTCAGTTTTTTTTAATATCAATAATTAATGATAATTTTACCATGCTGACTTATTGCTTGGTGAGAAAGTGATGTAATCCAGTATTTTAAATATAGTTGAATCAGATTATATGGATACGTGTGGATTTATATTGGATCCAGCGGTAATCAGTTTGAATTTCACTCATGGTTAAGGAGATAATATTGAAATTTAAATTTCCACGAACAGCGCATGACCATTCTACTATTCTGTATAATTGAACTTATTTTACTTATTTTTCGTACTATTAATTATTTTTTGAAGTTTATTTATTTTATTATACTAATTTATTTTATTATTGTATATATATGTAATTATATACATCAAAATTTATATAAAATTAAAATTTTAAGTTTTTTTTTTATTTTTTTAAATACTTTAGCTCGATCGACAACCTGACCTGACCCAAAGCTTGGCCCATGGATCAGTCCAGCCCACGGTACAGCACAAGTCCACATAAACTAAGGCTATGGACCGTGCTGGACCAACCTCCGAAGTCATCCCAAGAAAGGATAGTAGGGCCGTTTACACCGTTAGCTCTGATATGTCAAGAAGTAGATGCCATCAAATATAAACGTAAGAGAGAAAGAGTGATTCTTCCGAGTCTTGTGGGTTGACTGCTGACCCTGTTTAGGGTCTTGGTCAACAAAGTCAAATCATAAGTTATGATGCGGGTTCTCAATTGGATCCCAACTTAGAACCAGATTTATAGGTCTAGAAAACGGTATCCATTTGCCTGAATTCGATTCATTTATAATTGAATCAAATCTTTACCTGAATTCAAATCCAATTTGATTGTAGCCAATCAGTGTTATTTGTCAAAATTAATGAGTAGGCTTTGATTGATCAAAACTCTTCTGATATCATATCTTTCTGGTATTATAAATTTTTCTTTTAATTGTTGTATTTTCAAGTTTCATATAGATTTTTCCTTTTAATTGTCATATTTTTCAAGTTTAATACAAATTATTTTCAATACATTTTGTTTATGAAATACAATATTAAAGTCATTTTTAATTTATTTTAATTAATAATATGTATTATTTTGATTGTTTTTAGTTTAATTTATAGATGCTATTTAATATTCAATTCCTATCCCAATCGCTTCGAATCAGATGGATAAGATCCAATTCGAATCCAAATATAAATGACCAAATTTGGGTCTACCCATATCAGACAACGTCCATAACTATATGGAAGAAGATGTTTTGGTTATTACTTTAAATGCAAAACACGCACGAGAGAGAAACTTTCGAGATCCAGACAAGAAGTCTGGACTCTGGAGTTGTCTTCAGTTCTCACATGCGAAAAGCTGACAGATCTTTCCCCAATTCCGAAGGTTGAATGCCATCTTACCTGCCTTCAGCATTCCAAAAATTTTACAACAGAAAAGTAAAGAAACCTTCAAGTTTTAGGCTGTGTATGGTTTAAAGGAAAAAGTAATAGATAGAAGGAAGAGAACTGTAGAAACCTTTTACAAACTTTGTATAGTTTTTCTTACATTTCCTTTCCTTTACCTGCGTTTCTCCTTCAAACCAAACACAGCCTAGTATTTCGTTGAACCCAGAAAACTCTCTAATGACTCACTGCCCTCAATCCACGCAACTTGCCAAAGTGAAGAACCTTTATAGTGTTCTCATTGGAGTCAGAAAATTTCCTACCGTTCTGATCCTTGAGACCTGGAATTATACTCAAACCCTTATGCTGTAATTGGTTTGAAGGAAAAAGTAGTGAAAGAAAGGGAAAAATATAAAAACATTTACAAACCTTGTATAGATTTTCTTATCTTTTTCCTATCTTTCCTTTCAAACCAAACATATTCTTAATTCAAGGCGGGGGTGTGTCCATAATTAATTTGAACCTTGTACTTTATTTTCAGTTTTTTTTTTTCCTAAAAGCATCTTAAAGTAGGCATATCAGTAAGCAAAATATACGATACGATACCCTTGATATGGGGTGGAAATGCAATGTCTTGGATTCTTCACTTGCTGGTGGCCACAGGCAGCTTAACATTTGGGGCTGAGCCCTCAGGCTAGGCCCCTCGGGTCATGTATAATTGGGATAAGACTTGGATGATGATGATTGAAGATATATAATCAATAGAACAATATAGAAGCAGCTTTGCTAGTTAATCCACTCATTTAGTGAAAAAGTCTACTTTATAATTAACCAGCAAACATCCATTGCCAATTTATTCAAAATTCCTTTTCTTTGCGAACATCCTTTAAGCTGTCTTTGGTTTCATGAGATAAATAAAAGAGAAATATAAGGTTGAAGGAAAGTTCTTAACAAATGTCGTGAAATTATTTAACAATTATCCCTCAACTCTTTGTTTCTCAGTTCTTATCAAACCAAATACAGCCTTGGCCAATCCAAAGGGTTTTCCATCGATGAACGACTGAAATTTTCTACAGAATTTCTCCACGTAACAGAAATAGATGAGGTTATTTATGATAAAACATTAGATAGGTTCCATATATAGGCCAATGACCAGACTTGGCCCATAATCATCCGTCCCTAGTACGAATTTTTCCCTTGGATTTTCATTTACTTGCTTCTCCTTACTAAAATTTAAACCCAATTTATAAGCTCAGCTTTGTGTTTATTTGGTATTGTCTTGTTGGTTCCAGAGTCTTGTAATGGGCTGGGTTGACAGCTTTGTGTTTATTTGGTATTGTCTTGTTGGTTCCAGAGTCTTGTAATGGGCTGGGTTGAGAGAGTGAAGCTGTGTGCATTTTTTTGTTGGGTTTTGGGGCAAGGCGGTTTACATTCTCCCTCTATTACTGATTTATCTCCTTGTTGATAAATGGATAATAAAATTTAAGGAGGTTAACCCTCCACCTGGAGTAAACTTAGGTTTTAAAAAATAAAATTAAAAAAAAAAGAACGTTTACAAACTGTTTGTGAATTTTGCTCATATGGCTTATAGCTCCATGTGGAATAGAAAATAGCAGAAGTGAATGGAACTGAATTGTGGCACACTAATATATATTAATGGTTTCACGATTAGTGTGGCCGAAATGATGTTCAGTAGCACAAATGAATGTCCTCAACACCAGCAGCATCACTCAATTTATAGGATGCAGCATCCACTAATTGCTTGAGAGGCGTTGACAGACCCAAGTCCGGTCTGGTGCAATGTGCAAGTCTTCTTATAATGGGCTTCGATCCATTTCTTGACTTAGTGGCTTTGAATCGTTTCTTTGCCCACTCCGAGGGCAACAACCAACTTAGGAGTTCCTGAGGATCAAAGTCTCGGTGCAAGTCATGAGACGCATTAATTGGAGCCTGTTTTTTTAGGCATCCAAGTTGGGGTAAATCGTAAATGATCAGAATTCTGTATGAAGTACAAATCAGTAGATTTTGACGCCTCATCGATCGATCAAGAGCATATTGACCGAAGTCATCATTTATGTGAAATCGCAAGAGACCCTTTTAGTGCTAAGTTTACGTAAGTCTTACATTTCACCAACTTTCACCTTTTTTTTTCAGCAAGTGAACGGTGGTGCCACTAGCAGAGGCGTACATGAGAGGGAGCTTCACAAATACGTTAAGCCAGACAAGAGAGAGAGAGAAACGCAATTGTGGACCACAGGTTTTAGGCATGTCGTTTAGAGGTAAACAGTAGAATGGGGTGTGAAATTGGGAAGGTGGATAGCCTAGGTAGGCTGGGCAGATAGATTTCTTAAGAGGCCCAATTGTGGAGTGGAGTCTTACGTACATGATGGGTTGATCCCACTCATAGCACAGTCTTCCCAATAAACTAAAGTAACTAGTTATGATGGATATTTGGTTTGGTTTTCTATTACTCGCAAAGCAATTTGTTCCATAAGTTGGGAATCTCTAGCAAGGAATATTTTCAGAAAAAACTTTATATGATAATCTCTGTATGGAAGAGGGCTATGGTGGTAGTACTTTGACCTCTGTAAAACGAGAAGACCTCTATTTTGGTGGTCTTTTGAGAGCAAAAGAATCAAGAAGAAACAAGGTGATCTCTTTAGTTGTTGGAGAAACACAAGCTCACAGATCTTCAACTTCATTTCATTTGTTGAAGAATTCTACCTTGCTTCAGTAGAAATCAATACATTAGCGTTTTTCTGTACTATTCAAAGCCACAATTCACCCAAGTGGAAGAAACCCATCATACGCGTGTCGAACCCTTCAATGTAGGAAAGGAATCAAAAGTTTCCACTTCTGGAATGATGTACGAGTGGTAACATGCATGAAACACCTTGGCCCAGCTATAGCTAAGCGGGGTTAAGAACAAGCTAGTCTGGACCAGTGCTTTAAAATCTGGTTAGACCTGGCCCATCTTGGCCGGGCCCGGCCAGTCCTAATCGGGTCAATTATGAATGCTACCTTATGAGATCACCCGTCTGCCATGATGGATCAAGGTGCCAATCAAGACTATGCATCAAATAATTATTATAACAGTCGTAACAGATGGGTCAGGATGATGCAATTGACATAAGCCCTATATCTAATCTCGTATTGAAGCTTTTATCCAGCCTAAATGCAAAATTTTTAATTTAAAAATATCCATGAAAAGGTCATATTTTGGAAATGTCAACAGATTTGTCTTTTTTGATGCTGAAACATTTATACTAATGAGAATTTCTTCACTTAGACAACTCGATTAACAGGCTTATTACTCATTTTACCAGTTGTCAACATTTTACAGATTTGGATGGTTGCTATTATGTTTTATATGAACTTTGTTAAGCTCAAATTGGCCAGAAAATATAGTGAAAAATATATTGAATACAATTTGTTTTTCTTCTTGATACGAGTATACATACGTCAATTCATATCTACATGACTACATTCATCTGACAGAAATCCCGTTAATGAAGAGAACTTGCTGCAGAGAATCAAAAGCATTTCTTCCAGTTGCAACTGGCAAAGATACAAACAATTAAACGAGGGAAACATTGCAAGGGATCCAAGCAATGTGCATAGGAGACAGAAGCACGTGCAGAAGCAAAATCAGGGCAATGGCATAGGAGGTTTCCAATTATGGAACTCCACCAAATTTCTGTTTACAATAGTTATGTTGTGTAGCCAGAATGTTTCTGCTGACTGGTGGAATTTTCTCACCTTCCTCTGAAGCTCCCACATCACACCAACCATTGCTGAACAAGGTTCAGTTTCAGGAGCATAAACCCACAAGCACCTCACCTGTCTACCATGGGCTATCATCCTCTCTATCTCTTCATCTGAGCGTAGAATGCAACTAAGTCAGAAGACATATTCATGAGTAAGGAGAGACTGTAAAGCATTCACTTACTTGGAATTGATTGCAGGTAATCCAGGAGTTCAGGTCCTATACGTGTGGATGGCCACTTTATTGATATCTGGGTGTAGTCGATGACATTCTGGAAAGGCAACTCCACTTGATCGGATAAGATGACTGGAACACATTCCTGTTTCATATAATGACTAATTAGAGACATCCAGCATGTATAAATTGACTATAAAACAAAGCATGTTCCAATGATGGGGTTTGAGAGCTTTCGTCAAACAAATCATGTAGTAGATGAATCTATAAGATTCAACAATAAAAAATGCAGCCATTTGGATGGCAGCAATAGAATGTGTTTAGACATTCCACCCCATCTCAATCCTCATGTGGAATTTTTCAGAACCAACAGTGACCCATGTGGCCCAAAGAACCCCCAGTGTACAAAACACACGCAGAAGAAGAGAGACAGACAGAGAGAGGCCCTTTTCAGATCAGAGGTTAAAACTAAAAAGATAGCTATCACTATATAATAAAGCCTTGTAAACACCTATTCCTGTAAAGCTAAATTCAAATTTCCAGGAGGTGAGAATCCATCTTATTGTAGATGAAAGTAGTAAGGTGTACTCCCTTATCTGGTTAAGGTAGTGAACTAATCCTAAAGATCCGCCTCACCATACATAGACTCCACCTGAATGCATTTGTGGAATTACCTTCAATTAGACTTGTTCATGGACCAGACTCAGGCTTAGCTTTTGAAAATTTTGAATGGGCCCGACCCAAAGCCTGAGCCCAAAATAGTGTAAAGCCAAGCCTGAAGCCTGGCCTATGAACAGGTCTACCTCCAACCGCCATGGAGATTAAATGTCTCTACCCAGCAATCCTAACCCCAGTAAGAAGAGAAACAACTACAGCTCTAGTAGAGTTGTCATTCCCAATAAAAGTACCAACCATTGAATGTCCACATGGTATACCCATAGGAATCATTAGAAAATCATTGGCATCATCATCATTGACCACAGTTTCCTTTTCATAGGACTTGTTGGAAAAAAAAAGAACAAATTTAACTGTTTCATATTACAAGGAACAGAGTCAAATATATGTTGGATTGCTAAGCTGATGTAAACATGGAACTGCCAAACTGGAAATTAAAAAAAATCAAGAGATGGTCTGGATTGACCATGCTCTCCCATTTGTCCTTAGTGTGTGTGAGTCATGCAGAAAACAGATGTATATGATCCATCTAGATAGAAAACCTTTTTCCATAACAATATTAGGAATGGATTTTGCTGGAAGGAGGGAGGGGGAGAGAGAGAGAGAGAGAGAGAATAATGCATACCACAAAATATGATTCATAAAAACGAAGAGTCCATGATGATTCACCACGTGGTGCAAGGCAGAACTTGGCATTGCGCAGATGTTGAAAATACTCTATCCTTCCCAATTTGTCAGGGCCACTAAACTTCAATTCTGGAGATTCCAACTGTTCATAAAATCAAAATGCATGCTTTCTGAAATGAACTATAACTAGCAGGGGATAAATCTCCATCATTGTAATCCATAGCAATCAAAATTCAGAAACAAGTTTTGAACAGAGCTTGATATAAAGTACTGAACAACAAGAACAGAAAGCTTGTTTTGAATTCAAAATTTTACCACAAAGAATCCTGTCATTTCTTCCTATCCTGTTATTATCAGAACATAAAGCTAGTTTGAATTCAAAATTTAGCAGGGGCAAAACCTAACCTTTGATTCCCGAATGCTTCCAGATGCTGGCACTCCTATTGATACATGATAGAACCAATCCTAGTACTTACTATGGCATGTATACTTTGTTACTCACCATGTTAAATCTATTCGTTATTACTAAATCAGTTCCTATGTTGCAACAACTTTCTATTTGTCACATCATCCAGAATATGTGAAGTGCATATTGAATACTACTACTATGAATAGATTGCAAGTACATAAATATTATTAGATATAGAATCATGCCAAGACAACTATGTTCTTTTTCAATGATGTGAAGAAAATTATTCCGTTCTAAGTTTTACAAAATCTAGTATTCAAATGACTGTATTAGCATATTCGATGGGAACTCCAAAAGCCAAAACAGGTTACCAGCGTTGGTAAACAAATATTAACCCTCTCACCCAAAAATAAAATACAATTATGTAGCTGGACACAATTAACTGCTAACAAGTAATGATTTCATCACTTAAATAATCAAACCAAAATAATAGTTAGTGGAATAAGTATTTCTTCAATTGATAGATGTTTATAGAAAAAGTATAATATTTTTCTGGAGATAGTTAGGATTTTCCATATCAACCAGAATGCAGCACATGCCTCAACAAAGTAATTAATTGGAACCTTGGATTCCATGCACAAGCTTGTTCCCAGAAAATATGGAGGAAAATCAAGATGGAACTGAACTTGTGGATTGATTATTATTTGTCACAGAAAGTGCTTACCACTGCAATAATTTAAAAAATAAAAAGCTGTTTTTTATGTTTCCTTGCATTTTTTGACTTATTACAACTATACATAATGCAAATCACAGATAATCTTGTTCATGGTTCAACACAGTACAAAACAAAGAAACCTGCTTACTAAGTCATTTTTGACTTCTTGCATTTACCAAGCTTATTTACTGATCTATCAAAACTTCAATATAAAAGATTCAGCATCCCTTTTAAATTGTTAAAACCCACACAACATGGAAGAAAACAAACCTTATCTGGGAACTGCTTTGCAAGCTCTATCAATTGGAGACGTCCAAGTTTTCCCTGGGCTCGACCCAAGAAGTTTGCTAAATATTTTCTCTTTGACAAAGGTAAAGGTTCAACTATGGCAGAACCATCTCTTGTCATCCCGTCATCAACATTTCCAGGAATTATGATATCTTTCCATGTGTTAAAGGCACTTGTGTCCCGCTTATCTGTACGATCTCCCTGTGGTAACATAAAACAATAACAGAATCTGTTAAATGTAAAACCCTCTTGAAGGAGAGAGACTAAAAGGTCAGTTATTTCAACCTCACCCAAAGTCAGTACTGTCTATGCTATTAATACTATTATAAATATTTATAGCTAGTCACAATTAACAAGTGCAATACAAATGATCAAATAAAAGAATCTTAAACCTATCAACCAATTATAGAAAGGCAAACAGCAGTAATTCCACAATACATTATCAAGCATAATCAAGTATAGTAAAAAGAGACCTGAAATAAAAAGAACAAACTTTTAGGCTAACATCATAGTTGTCAAGGCAACGCCTAGGTGGGCACCTAGGCAACAAGGTGTCCTTGGAGGCTCGCCTAGCCTAATCGCCAAGCAGTTTTCTATAGCATGTTATAAAAAACTTTTATATTCTTAATTTTTTGAGGTTTAAATTATAAAACAGACATTTTAAACTAAAATATTCATTTTGTGTGTTTATATACTAATTTCATTTTATTATTTTCTTATTTGTTAGGGTTTAATCAACACAAAGATTGCCCAAAGCACAATTGCCAAACACCTTGCACGTCACCTAACCCAGCATCGCTAACCCACAAACGCGTGTTCACGAGCATGCGCGGGACGACACTGTTAAGGCTGCGGCAACKCACGCAGTGCTCAACACAGCAAGTGCGACCGCGTCTAGTAGCTGGTTCCCTCTGAAGTTTCCCTCAGGATAGCTGGAGCCCGGGTGCGAGTTCTTCTCCTCCTCCTTCTTCTTCTTCTTCTTCTTCTTCTTCTTCTTCTTCTTCTTCTTCTTCTTCTTCTTCTTCTTCTTCTTCTTCTTCTTTTTGGACTGCAAGTACAACTACCATGAGTTCCTTCTCATATGCTGACTTAGCATGGTTCTATGGTGACAACACTTTACTAAAATAAGCCAATGGTTGCCCGTCTTGCATTAACACGACTACTAGACCCATCCCAGATGCATCACATTCAAGTATGAACTGCTTTGAGAAGTCAGGTAATGAGAAAACTGGTGGAGTAGAGATAGCTTGCTTTGGAGTGGCAAAAGCCTGATGAGCCTACTCACCCCACTAGAATGCATTTTTGTGTAATAATTAAGCGAGCGGTGCTGTCGTTAAAGGATAATGTGGTATAAAGCGTCTCTAGTAACCTGTGGGGCCCAAGAAAGCCCTTAGGACCTTAACTAATGTGGGTGGTGTCCATCCTTGAATGCAAGCAATTTTGTCAGGATCGACCATGACCTTTACTCCACATGACCTAGGTATTGGACCTATGTTTGTTCAAAAACATGAGGCCTTTGCGTATAATTGATGTCATCTCAGAAGTTCCAAGGCAATGATTAAATGGTGTATGTGAGAAGCCCAATCAACACTATACACCAAAATATCATCAAAGAAGACTAAAATAAAATGATGCAAATAGGGACAAAACACCTCATTCATGATGGCTTGAAATGTTGCCAGTGCATTTGTCAATCCGAATGGCATGGCGAGGAATTCATAATGGCCATCATGCGTATGGAATGCAGTTTTTAGTACATCCACCAGATGCATCCATGTTTAGTAGTATCCCAACCGTAGATCAAGCTTAAAGAATAGAGTGGCTGCATATAAGTCAACCCGTAGTTCATGACAAAGAGGAATGGGAAACCGGTATTTTATTATAATCTGATTTAAAGCCTGGTAATCAATGCAAAAACTCCACATTCCATCTTTTTCTCTTGAACAAGAGGATTGATGCTGAATATGGGCTTGAATTAGGCTGTATGAACTTTTTCTCTAATAATTCTTGTACAATTTTTCCATCTCCTCCCTCTGGAATCTAGGATAACGATAGGGCCTGACATTTGATGAGCTAGCTGCTTTTTTCTCATTAATCCGAAACATAGGATCCTCTCCAGCAACAACTATTCTCAGATGTAAAACCTTCTACATGTAAAACAAATCCAGCAATGTTGGGATTAGACCTGTTCATGGGCCGGGTGACCCGACGGGCCAGCCCGACCCCCGGACAGGCTTGAACATGCTTATAGGCCCGCGGGCTTAAAGTTGGGCCAAAAAGCCCAGCCTGCAATAAATTCGAGCCGGGCTCGGGTTTTGTCAAAATAGCCCGGCCCGGCCCGGCCCGGCCCATGAACAGGTCTAGTTGGGATCACATTAACCTCCTCACTCTCCACTAGAATCCTCGCAAATTGGATATTCTCCCATCTCCTATTTCTGAAGTCAAATCTCTTAAAGATTCCACATGCATTTCCTTTGCCCTAAACACTTCTACACTCCATGCATGTAAAGGAATCCCATAGACATCAATCCAAACAAAACTCATTGAAACAATGTTTTTCCCCAACAATGGCGTCAATCTTTCAAAGAAAATTTCAGGATCCCTTTTAATCCCCAACTTATCTCTCACTAGGGCTTTCTCCATATCTTCTTTCCACCTGAAACTGAAAGAAATAAAGATGCATGCATTCAATTAAGTCCTAACACAAGAAAAGCTTAGATGTCTCCATCCATTGCTTGCCCATTTCTCCACATCTCTGATATCAGAGTCAGAGTGAACAAACTTCCCTACCAGGCAATGACTCAGAAACTCCAACCATTCTACCAAACCTAGTTCTCTCACAGAAGCCCCTTTCGTCATCATCGCCATAGACATCACCAACTTGCCGTTGAACCATCAAACTTTCTATCAAGATGTGAATGCCTCTCCAAGACCATCAGGTACTGAAATGCGTTCTTCAATGGCTCAGCCACTTCATCCATCAAAGCTTGAATTTGCTTGATCACATCCTTGGAGGCAATTCCCATTTATGCACTTCCGCCAAAATTTCTATAGAATAAAATTTGTAATGGAAAATTACTTAAACCTCCCCTGGATTTTCTGACAAATACTTAAACCTCCCTTGTAGTTTGACCTCTGCAAAATCCTCCCTTTTCACATTTCAAATAAATATGCAAATGCACCCTTTCCAATAATTTTCTTGATAGAAAACACTAACATATTGCTTTGAATTTTTTAAAATCCTATTTTTCCCATAAGAAACTTTAGTGGGATGAAAGTGTACCAAATTACCCTCAAAAAGGTGATTCAAATTATTTAAGTGAGTTTACTAAATAATCTGATTCATATATGTGGATGAACTGAACTGAGTTATGAAGGAAAAAGTAAAAAAATTAAATGTTAAAGGTAACAAGGGCATAGTCATAATTTCAACATCTCTGTTACAGAAAAATTAACAGCAAGACTGATTTGCATATTTATTTGAAATGTGGAGGGAGATTATTGCAGAGGTTAAAGAAATGGAAGGTTTTAAGTATTTGCCAAAAAAACAGGGGAGGTTTAAATAATTTTCCCTAAGGTTTAAATAATTTTGCACTCAGTTCAGTTTTGCATCTGTTTGTTTGGGACAATATGAACTTCAAAAGTCAGAAAAGCATAAAAGGATGGAAGAAGAGGCAGTTTAGGTATAAACCCACATACCCAATAAAGAAAAAGTAGAGGATAGAAGGCTTACTGCTATCTGATTTCTGCTTGAAACTAGAAAAATCAAAATAGCATACCTACTTAACTCCAACTATAAACTTCTGACCTACTTAATTCCTAAGCTTTTGTGAAACTCTTACCAGAAAAACATTTGTGAAACATGGAATGAGAACAACAAAATACTACAACTTGATCAGCCTCCAAAAGATGAATGACAGACCTTATAAGTCCAACCCATGAATTGGAACCCACATGGCATCTCTTGCATAGTGGAACATGGATGTGATCCATTTGAAGTCAGTAAAACTGGAATCATAAAGAGAAGATAAGCATGGTCCCTGTAAACAAATCCAGAGATGCCAATCCCCACATCAGAGGGTTTTCCTTTCCTCTTTTTTTCTTTTTCACTTTTTCTTTATTTCTTTATTTCTTTTTTTATTTTTTGTTTTGTGGGGGAGGTGGGGGGAAGGGAGGTGGGGGTTTGGTGGACCAAAACTAAGTTTTGGAAGAAAGGTTTTCATCACCACCATCACTCTACATTTTTTTTATTTTTGATCAGCAAAAAAGCTTTCATTAATAACAGAGAAATTAAGTTACTATAGATAAAGATTACAGAGGGACTGACTGCAATCTCCAGTAATTAGTTACAATTCTGCCCAGTACAAGGAAGATCTATTTTCCCCTTGTTTTGCTAGGGTATCCACCATCCCATTTGCATCCCGTTTGACCCAACCAAACTGAGAGTTGAACTTCCTTGCAAGTGTGTCAATTTCTCTGAAGACAAATTTGAGCTTCCAAGGTGCTGATGTGATGTTTTTGGCCCAAGAGATGACCAATAGTGAATCTCCTTCTATTTCTAAGTCTGTTGTTCCTATCTGCTCAGCCATCTTTAAACCTTGAAGTAGGGCTAGAGATTCAGCCTGTATTGAGTCACCAAAACCTATTGGTCCTGAGTAGAGTGCCACCACCACGCCCAACTGATTTCTAAACACACCCCCTATGCCTGCCCTTCCTGGGTTGCCAAGAGAACTCCCATCAAAGTTCAGTTTTAATTTGTTCAGTGCTGGTGGCTTCCATTCCATAAATACAAGTACTTTGGGTATATCTGTTTATGCTACTTCAGCCCAATTTCTTAGGATCTCATTTGTGGAGTAGTTTCTGAATATCTCCATGGTCTTCACCCAATGTGCAGTTCTGATTTTTATGGCTTCAATAACTTCCTCCTTTGTTTTGCTTTTTCCAGAAAAGATTCTTAGGTTTCTTTCCTCCCATATAGTCCATACTATAGCTGCTCTTACTGCCTTCCATAAGCACTTTCCTTTTTTTACCACATCCTGTGGGGGAAACCATCTGCATCCAAAGAGAGAACAAACAACATTCCAAATACCAGAAGTAAAAGAGCAGGATAAAAGTAAATGGGTTAGGGTTTCACCACATCCCAAACAAAGGACACACACATGAGGAGAGAGGCAATTGTTTGGCCTCCTTTTCTGTAGCAC